ATTTGTATGACTACAAAGCTTTCCAGCGAGTGAGGAGGGAGAGTCAATTGCGGTTGCGGAGATCTGTAGCTTCCAAGCAGGAGAACTGTGGTGGGAAGTCTGGCTTGAGAGAAGTAAGACTGTTCATGGAAATAGCAGGCTCTTTTGAGAAAGTTTAAGCAGACTTTGAATGCCATTCCATGTTTCTGAGGTTATAAATCAGTCCTCTTCTAATTTTCTGAATTTACACTTGACACAGCCCGTAACAGTCGCTATGATAACAGGGTGGTTGGGTCACTTTGCTGGACTAAGCAGATGGACTGTGGCTAATTGAGAGGGCAGCTGGGAGCTGCAACACTGGGTCAGGCCTCTGATAGTCCTTGGAGTAGTTCCCTTGCAAACACTGGAGATGGATCACGAACGGGAATTGCTGGGGATGCTGTAACTGTTACAGCAATGACAAACAAGCTTGGAGGAAGGAAGCTGACTCCAGTAGTATTCCATTTGGTCTGATTACTGTTATTTTTAAAGCACTTCTAATTAGGAGCATGCATGAAAATGAAGCCAGATATAACCCAAAACTGTCATTTAAAACCAAACCAAAACAAAAAGCCCAACCAAAAAACCCCTGCGGAAGAGAAAGAACAACCCCAAAACGCAAACCCCATAAAACCCTCAAACCCAGTCTGTGGTTCTCTGTCCCGATTAGCAGAGGCAATGGAAGGCCCAGTTCTCCTTTGTGCAGCTCCACTTGTTTTAAGCCTTACTCGTAGTGTGGAAGCCTGAGCCGATTGGGATGGAAGCCTCATTTAGCTTGAGCATTGCACACAGCCAGGATTCTATCTCTTGTACAACTTGAGGTGCTGCTTTCTCTGTCTCCCAAAGCAGCTGGCTGTGCTCATATTGCCAGCTGTGGCCATAACGACACCCTGCCTGCCCCAGGGATGTCCTCGGGGTGGCACAAGTGCCAAGAGCAGCCCGCCGTGCCGTACAGCTCAACCCGTGGTTGCACTCCAGCACTCTGTGTGTGGGTCTGAGATTAGTAGTGCTGCTGGTAGAGACTAATATTTCTTACAGGTGAGAGCTGTGAGTTTACTATTGCTCTCCAGGGCATTGTTTTATACTTTCATTGCTGTTATAGAATTGAGTGCATAAGTAAAAACAAATAGAAAACCTGATTCAGTATTTTTTTTTTTTATTGTGTGTGTTTATATATGCAAATTTTGTGTTGCTGTTGGTTCAGGCTGTAGGTCTCCAAGAAAGTTTTCACTGTGATCCCTTTGTGCTGCAAATTTGGGATAACTGATTTTGCATTTGTCTGGAGTAAGGACCAATATCCAGGAGCAAATTTACTGGTCTCGGAGCAGCATAGAAATAGGTTTAGGGGAACTCCATGAGACATACTAATTCATGGGGGAGCTACAGGTGAAAAGAACTGCAAGAATTAATGTGGCCGCCTTCTGGTGCTACGGTAGAATACTGCAGCTGATAAATCATTGGTCTGAAGAGCAGAGGCGGAGAAGACTTGGTAAATTATTCAGTGCATTTTCCTGATAAAGCAGTGTTTGTTTCTAAAGCACTTTCATTTCTACTGTCCAATCCAGGCTAATTTTGATGTCTACTACTTCCTAATGGTAATTATTTGCAGCCTGCCATAGTCTTTCCAGGAAAAGAGAAGTACTTTTGTACAAGACTGGGCCTCAAGAGATTTAATTTTTATGTCCTGACTCTGCATGAGGCTTTGTGACTGGGCTCAGAAGCTTGCTTGCTTCTGAACAGGAAACATAAGGTTCCCCTACCTCTTTCTCACCTAGATTTAAAATATATTTAGTCAGGACCTGTCTTTTCCTTTTAGATTTAGTTGAATTTTTTTTTCTTATTTTTGTTTCATTTAAAATAAAGTGTATTAACAAAGTATCTTGCTCTGCAGAAAAATGCAGTACTTGAGACACATCTTAAAGCAGAAATTTCTTTGTTATAATCAGCCCCCAGTGGTGGTAGTTCTCTGCTTGCAAACCAGACAGCAAGAGTTTACTAAAAATATTAAGGAAAACAATTTTCTGTACTTTCAGCTCAGATCTTGCAGTTGGTTCTGCTGTTTAAATGTTAAAGCCCAGCATCATTAGCCTAGAAGAGCTGACACTGACCACTGTGAACTTGATTCTGCAGGTGGCAAAGAGTTTTTGTACGGCAGGAGTTTCCTCCCTGAGCTGCTTATTTCTTTTCCTGCACACTCATTTTTGACTGTTATTTTGTGCAAAGAAACTACTGTGTTTTATAATCAGATTGTACAATAAAGCCTGTCTCCAACTTTATGGGAGTGTAGGTTTAAGGGAAGGTTTGCATGGCAGTCATTTCTTGAAGTAAAATAGAAAGTGTGGTTGGGTGTGGAAAAAGACCTTCTCTTGTTCGAAAGAAAAACCTGAATAAAGGCAGATGTGCTCAAGTTGAATTGTTTTAAAATTGTATGTGTGGAGGTTTGTTTAATGCTGAAGCTTAAAATTGCCAGATTGTTTGCTGCTGCTATTATCTTTCAACTTGAACTGTGGATGTCTAGACAGTAGTATACCCCACTGTAGTATGCAGTAGTTAATGCTGAAACAACAATATGTTATACCAAACATTTTCAAAAGAGTTTATACGTGGACTGTGTACAGCTTTAGAAGAGAGATCCATTGTTTTAAAAGGAAGAAAGAGAACAATTTCTCAAGATGAGTCTACAGATCAACTATTTGTTTTGTGGGGCTGGGTAGCGATAGATAAGTTGTGCCTCTGAGAAGCATATTAATAATTCTTTGGCACAGAAATCCTGGAAAGAAGCAAAGATAAAATTTGTCTACTTACCTGAAAAGGTTTTTATTTTTGTTTTTTTTTTTTTGTTCTCCTTCCATCTGGTAAGCTCATAAATGAGCTTAGTTGAGTAGAGTTGTCTCAGAACAATAGAAGTATTTGATATCTACCAGTTATGATACAAGTAAATTAACACGAGGCATGTCGTTTGCAATGGTTTCTTTGAAGTAGTAAATAAAGGGCAAAAACTAGGATATCCCCGTTCCTTCCAGGAAAGAGGACATGGGTCACTTTTAAAATGAAAGCTGCCATTGATTATATCGGATCGATGCTCCTCAGAAATCAATCCATGTTTCTCAAGATACTTTACCGTGAAATGCAGTAGGTGAAAACCTTGTGGACAGATACTGATAGGGCCAGTCCGTTCTCAGCAGAAGGTGTTCAAATGCCCTGTCCAAAAAATACAACATAAATGTTGTGCTGACAAAAACAGAAATGTGCAGAATAGAAGCCACAATAAAATACATTCACATTCATAACCCAAGACATAATCTGATGTGAAAGAGCACGTGCTCTTGAGAGTTACTCAAGAAAAATGTTATTAGGTTGAATTTCCACATCCCCCTCCCTTGAAGTTAGGCCAACATTGGGAATTGGTATAAATCACATTTTAAAATTTGATATAGGATATTAGCTTTCATTGAGAGATCTGATATGTTAGTTGCCGTCAGTTTGTATTGTCAACACTTGTGAGTGTGGGCTGAGACTGGCACTGCCTGCTGTCAACAGCCCCGCTTCATTCCCTCTTGCAGTTTGCTCTCTTCGGTCTGGGATGTCAAAAACACTTTATTCATTGTGCATCGGGAAACTTAATCTGGTTAAAAGGATACTGTCCTATTGCAGAACAACAGGCAGCTGAAGGTGAGAGCAGCTAAGCTGATGCTAATAGGGAGAGACGTCGGAAAACCAGAAGCAAAGACTGGCCATTCAAATAGGACCAGGTTTCTTTTAACTCTTATGGGAGCATCAGAGAAAAACTACCTAGGAAAATGGCAAACTGCTTTTCTTCACGTTTTGAGGTGAGGCAGGATACCTTTTAGAAGCTATGTGGTCACACACAATTTACTAACCTAAGTGTTTGGGTAAGAGGGTGAAATCTAGTGGACTGTAATATCCAGGAAGGCAGATGAACTGCTGAGCATTTGTGGTCTTTTAGTTGGGCACGTATATTTTAATATAAATCCATTGTCTATCTTGGCAATGTCTTTGCAGTGGAATCTCCTTTCACGAAGAACAGTTTCAACAAATTTGCAAGAAATAAAACATCAAAATGGATGCAGAAGAGGTGGTTCTACCAATTCCTTACTATGAACCTCTAAAATGCGTAAAATATCTGTGAATTATACATATAAAAGCAGAAGGAAAAGACCAAGCCATGCTAAATCAGGGAGTGTATGTAACTGAAAATGTATTCAGGTAGGATCTAATCTAGTGCCCTTTTTAGTCAGCA